AGCTGAAGCTGACAGACTGGTATTTTATTACTCTGTAGCAAAGTAGTGAGAAAGAAGATGAAAACAGACTTAGCCATGCTATCTAACATACAACTGTAGTGCACTCACGTGACAAATAAAAAAAGAGTAACTTGCCTTGACGGCTGCAGTGACCGCAGCGGTGGCTGCAATGCTCAGGCCCTGCTTGCCAAAGTTCACCATGGTCTCATAGCTTCTCTCTTTGGCCTGCACAATGTACTCATCTATTTCCTAAAGGAAGACAACAATTACATTTTAGAACACAGTTGAACTGGGAACAAACCAGTGTGACCTGCATTACACGTGGATGTACGGATGGATGTACCCTTTCTCTGGAGGACAGCAAAGGATGCAGACACTTCCTGTAAATAAGACTCGCTCCTCTGGTGTAAGGGGACAGCAGCCAGATCACAAAAGCTATCTTTAGTTCGTAGTAGAGAGGAAACCTGGATATGGAAACACACGGTAAGTTTACCCCATGGTACATAATGAAAACAGTTTAAGACATATGCACCCACTCCGACTCCTGTTGTCGAGTTTTTGTTGCACACAGCTCTGAAGGTTTATTATGGTTTTTTTGGACTGCACTGACATGTTCCAGCACTTTCTGTGACTGTCTGATAAAACATCAGCTGTAGGGCTGCAGGTATCGATTATTTTATTAATGGACAAATCTATCGAATATTCTATCGATTAATCGAGTAACTGGATAAGAAATTATTTTCTCTTATTAATGAGTAATAACAAATATTCAAAAACTTCTCATTGGTTTTAGAAATTTAGTGTTTTAAAGTTTAACTGCATTTAACATCTGTCAAAAAAACCATCAAACTCCATCAATTCCTCAGAATCGTTACATTGTTCCTTCTAGCTAAATGTTGTCACATGAGATTCATAAAATCACTGAAACTCGACCTTAAGTTCCTGCAAATGTGACTCTGTTGCTACACAGTGCACATCCACAAGTTTATTCTAGTTACACTAGGAAAGAGTTCATTTCTATCATTATTATTCAGGTTAGCGAGGAAAACGTCTTCTTCCCCTCACACAGTCAGTGTAGATGTATCTGTACGACATGTGAGTTTACGAGGTTTACATAATGTTTGATTAACTGCGTTTGTGTTTAACATTCGTGGCAAACTCACCATGCCAGTGATAGGTCAGTGATCGTCTCCACGACAGTGTAGAGGGCAAATACAATCCAGTACATCATCCATCGCACCTACAGGCAGAGAGACAACTGCATGAATCATCGTTTAAAAGGAAGGCTGAGCATTAAACCAGCATCACTAATATTCACACTAACATTAAAAATCTTTGTTATACGAGGAGGACAGAGAGGGAGCATCTCCACCGAGAGCAGCAGCGTCTGAACCAGCATGCTGATCGTGAAGAAATGATGACATCATCCGTTTGTTTTAATTCAACTGTAATCTAAGCACCACTGTCTGTTAGGATGTTATAGATTTACTAAAATAAAAATAAAATCAGATTAACAGCTGATTGTGTGGGGCGTGCTTTTTTATGTTGCTGTTTCGGTCATGTTACGTTTCGCTGTTAGAAACTATGAAACACATCACACGGAAGGAAACTAATACTGCTCATGAGCACGACTGAAGGCAAGAAGGATGAGAGCACCTACAGACTCATATCACAGTTTATAATACAGCCTCACAGCAGGCCAAAGCAATGGGTGTGACTTCAGCACTAACCCCGCCCCCTGACTTTGATGGGCTGACATTCATTCATGAACAGCCACAGGGCCAGGACTGCCAAAATGAATTACATAAATACATCATTAAAAACAGGAATAAATAATTAAATGTGTAAATAATTAAGCAATTATATAATTAAACGTGTCATTAATAAAATAGGAAATAAATAATTAAATGTTTTAAATGGAATGATGGTGCCTTTAATTAATTGATATTTATTTATTCAATCAATTCCAATTTTAATTAATTAATGACACATTTAATTAATTACTTAATTTGTGTATTTAATTCATTCATTTTGTCACTCCTGGCCCTCCACAGCTGTGAGGATTCATACTGCATCCCTCGTTTCCTGCGCACCTGAAGTTAAAACCAAAAGCAGCTCATATTTTGTATATTCTGGTCTGTCAGGATTATTGTCATTGCACATGAATAAATACAGAGTAAAATAAATACACTTCTGATTAGATGCAGAC